GCACCTAGGTCACCAGATCTTAACCCCCTTGACTTCTTCTTGTGGGGTTACCTAAAAGAATTGGTGTATTCAACTCCGGTTTATACAAGAGAAGAGTTGATGGCAAAAATAGAACATCATTGTAATGAAATTAAACAGAATCCACAAATGCTATTTAGAGTGCAACAAAATAATCTTATTCAACTCATTCAAATGTACAACGATACATTTGAATGAGTTGCTTTGATCGCCCAAATTTCAAGTTAATCAAAGTAACCCTTTAGAAATTATGGGCAATATTAATTCTTCAACTTCTTACATTGAGTGACAATTACTCCTCAACAATGTCACCTAGGTAAAAAGTTATATGAAGTACTAGCACTCGTTTGACCTGCTCTATATAACCTTCATTTGTTCCCCGTAGTTAACGGACGCCCTGTATATTGTATTGAATTCAATAAATTGTTTAATTCAAGGTTCCTCAAAATATGTAACGTCTTTATTGAAAGCTACATACATTTTTATTTGGCAATTCTGTCATGTTGCTAAATTGGCAGTACCAACACCGGCCAATAGTGGTAGCCAGCCGCTTTTGTGCCAATCCGCAATAATTTACAATTCAGCCTTTTAATTCGACGGCCCGAGTAAGCGGACACCCTGTACTGAGGCGATAATAAAGTTAAAGCTTTCTTGCAGCAAAATAAATTTTGTACCCAACGGAGTGTGTCGGCTCCGTTTCATATAAATATAAATAAGTCCTAAATGGAAGTCCGGCTAACGAGCGGCTGCCGCCGGAGCACACCTAGTTATTGCCATTTATCTAATTTTAATTTACACGGTGGAAAAATCAGGTGGAGCAAAACACGAAACAGCCGGCACCAACGCCGTGCTCACAGAGACGGAAAGTCTGGTGTTACAGTCGAGAAAATGTTAAGAAAGGTCAAATCTAAATTAAACGCTACGTGTAACACATGCGGCATTGTTGTGGTATAATTATACACGTACCTATTAGTTGAAAAAGTCGCAGGACTATTTGTACTTATTCGCGCAACGCCTTAGCTACAGCTGGTACAGATATGTCTTCCTTTTTTTAAAAAACGCCGCTGGAATTTGTGGGCTCGTCAAAATATAGATTTATGTAAATGAAAGAGAAAAATAACTGTAAACGTATTCTTCAGTAATAGGATCGCGTACGTAATTGAAATTCTATATAAAACGCAATACAAACACAAAATAATTATAAAATCAATTTGATAAACAGCAATTTTTTTTTTGGTTCATCACGTTTCATTGGATACCCAAAATAATACTGAAGTGGCCCAATTATGACGTCTTTACTGGTAGTTTAAGAACTATGTATTATGTTATGTTAGCAGTGCCAACAATGGCCAGCAGTAGCGACGAATCGCTTAAATGACATACTATATATTATTATTTCTAAGGTGTCAAACAAAATATTGGTATTGTCTATTGTAAATAAAGTCAAACAAATTCAGATATATTTTAGCTCGTGGCCTAGCCTCAATTTAGTTATTAGAATAGGATACTTACCCCACAATAACTATTCCCTGTCATCAATTACATACAGACTGTCCTACTTTTAATCACAAAAATTTAGAGGAATCATAGATCCTGTAAAAGAATGCAATTGTGCTAAAAAATTTGTTGCGAAATTTCAATCGTTCCCGAGACACTTACAAAGTAATAAAATTAATGAAAATATACGTTTAATCAAATATGTCCAAAATGATAAAACTAATTAAAAGCAACAATTCGCAGAATTTGTTTACAAATGTGTGAATCAGTGGCGGAGATACAGTGAGACATTGTTATTAAAAACCCTAGAATATATATGACTTCTTGAAAATTGAATAACCTCATTTAATTCCTGATATAACTATTTGAAAAAAGTATCCAACATATTTATTTAAAAAGGTCAGTTTAATAAATTTAATAACTCTAAAACTATTTGCTTTACAGAAAAAAATTTATTGGATTTTTTTCGAAATTCAAATTTAAATCCAGTATAACTATATCGCTGTAGAATTTTGTGGAGGGCACTGATTAATAATAATAATAATTTATTTTCCTCACAGACATAATATGTATAGGAATAGTCAAATAAAACTTACAAACTAAGACAAAGTAGGTAAAAATTCCAATATGGAATAAAAACATGTTTTCATTAAAAACTGCTTTAAAGCTTTCCTAAATAAATATTCACTTTCCAGCAATTTTAATTGGTTAGGTAACTTATTAAATAGCCTAGGACCTAAACAGCCGAGAGAGTTGGACGTTATTCTTATTCTAGCGAATGGAACATGTAGGTTCATATTTTGTCTTGTATTATACTTGAGGAGTGCATCATTTAAAACCAATTTACTTTTATTTTTGAAAACATATAAGCAGGTCTCAAATATGAACAAACATGGTAAAGGTAGAATTTTAAAATTTTTAAAAATATCCTTACACGAATAATGACTGGGAACTCCTACCATATATCTTAATAATCTCTTCTGTGCTATAAAAACTTGTGTAGAAAATGTAGAATTTCCCCAAAAACAGAGACCATGCCTGAGACGAGATGCAACTTGTGCATAATATTATAAGCAAAGAAGTTGTTCGATATTTAATATCGTCTTTAAATTGCGAAATAAATAAGTAAGAGAGGATATCTTATTAGTTAATAACTTACATGTTCGGTCCTAAAAATTTTATTACCCCAACATCAATAGTTAAGTCATCGTTTCCTACAGTAAAACCCAACATATCACAATATTTCTTCGAGCTATGAAATCTTATAATATTTGTTTTATTAGTATTAAAGTACAAATTATTCTCGGAGAACCATTTTGTTAGATCTTTTAATAAGATATTACAATTTGTCTCCAAATCCTTATCGTTTGTGTTCGATGTAATTAAAGATGTGTCATCCGCGTACATGGTAGCATGTAAATCATTGACATATATAAAAAACGGCACCGGTCCTAGAATCGAGCCTTGCGGTACACCCATCTTTACAGGATATTGCACCGAACAAATATTTATTTCCATGTTTATTTTAGATAAGAAACAAACTGAAAAGTGCTCTTTTTTCTTTTGTATTTCGGACAAAGAATTCCTATCCATTTCTGGAAACGAACAGTTTTAGAATTATTTTATTTAACATGATATCTTTTTTCTTAAAAATCACACTAGGCATTGAATGCAATTACCCAGTATTCAAAATACCCAGTGTCATTAAGATTCTGGGATTCTTAGTAACGATATATGCCAGTATTTCCGCCACTGTTTAACAGATTTATACACTAATTCCGTGAATTCTTTAATTGGTTATATTATTAGCTCAAGTTTAATAAATCTAAATAAAATATTTCCAGAGATATTTAAACAAACGACATATATTTTTCAACTTTTACACCATGTATCTCGGAACGGTTAAGATTTCGAAATAAATGTATACAGGGTAATTCAGTCATAATGTTATTAATTTTAAGGGAAGATAGGGAAAAATAAGTAGAATATGAATACGCAATTAAAAAAAATTAAATGCATATTTATGCAGAAAGAAAATATTTTCAAATAATTATTTTAACCCCTTTTGGGACCGCAACTGACCGCTGACCCACAAGGGTTTATCGAGAGTGAATCTTGACCTACCGTATTATTGGGTCACTAACCTAGTTTTTAACACGTTTTTAATACGTAGTGAACGATAAAGAATAAACAGATCTTTTTACTTAGACCCATGAATTAATAAGATATTTATTTACATTTTAAATATCAGCAAGTCAGCAAGTATTAATTATTTGTTAATAAAAACAAATATATAAGAATAATAATTGTTTTCGAATGTTAGATTATTACAATTTAGTATGTTTAATATTGTTAACGTCTTCACTATGTTTAATAATTTAATATGAGTTTTTAGTATTATGTTCGATTAATTATTCAGTTTGTAATACGTATTCCTAGTGACTTATTGCTTTTCAAAGGGTAGTTGGTACCTACCTATTTAAAATGCCAGTATCTACGACTAAAAAACAGTCATTAGTCCATAGCAGTTTGTTAATAAAGTTGGGATCCGCTGCATTTTGATTTTGAAACTAATTGCAAAATTCAACACGACTAGGAAAATCAGCTGTTTCTCTTCAACGTTCGAACGCTATGTAGTTCGCCAACGCGTTTCCTGTCATAAAATGTGTTACGAAGTAGGGCGCCGAATTAACAGGAATTAAAGGGTAATTTGCTTATTTTTTAAACGGTCGAGTAAAAATATTTTTTTTCGATTTTCTGTCTTTGTTAGGTCTTCCGAATACGTGGTTAAGTTATATGACTGAATCACACATTATCAATGTCCTACTATCGGTGGAAAAAAAAATAACCACCGCTACTGGCGGCTCGTAAACTTCTATGGTTTATGTCTATCAAAATCATTGTACCGATTATGTACAGATGCTAGAAAAATAAGCCTATTGGCCAAATTCCCATAGATGACATCATCCAACACGGTCATTAGAAATGAAATATTTTGTACCCTTTTTTAAACAAAATCATCGAAAATCAAGAAATGATGAAATACGTGTTAAATAACTATCGCAAATCTTTTCAACAAAAGAATGAGAATTGATTCTATTAGTATTAGTAGTACAGACCATCACAAATAAGTTTGCGACTGAGACAGTTCCACAATGAGCACTGGACACGACAAGGGAAAGGCTAAAGGAGTGTATTATTAAATCCACTATCCCAAATCGTCGCACCTACGTCTTATTCCTTCCAGTCGAATCCATTATTTCTCAATTTCCCGACCCTGCCTAAGTCAGAAACGTAAACTTACTTCGATCTATAGTCAGTTATATCCTTAAACTATTATCAATGATTGACAATTGATGACATCTTGCGTATTTTATTTTTGGCAACTCAAAATCGAAAAATGCACACTCAGATCGCTTGCCAACCATAAAAGTATGAGTTAAATATAGTGGTGCTAGTGTTTAACAGTTTTTCTTTATTTTCAGAATGCGTATTTGGAAAACAAGTAAGAGAACTGGGTTCGCAGTGGATACCGGACCTAGGCGTACCCATTGGAGTCTTATATTGCATGAAGTGCGAATGCATACCGGTAAGTCAACCACTAACTATTAATAAACACTTACCTTTCCCTCCTCTGGATGAAAAACACGCACCAGTCCCATTTCCTGAAACGAGAAATAAAAACATGCAAAAATAACGACTTTTCTCAGTGTAACGCTGGCCGGTTTTAATTTATTCTCGCAGTTTTAATTTTTGTGCGTTGGGAAGGATTATTTTTTCAGCTAAATAACACTCGGGAGAACGTCGTACAATGCATGCCAGTTGGCCGTGCAGGTCTAGCGCAGAATTTTAAATTCTGTTGAATTATTCATCCGCATATTTTCACACAAAACGATTCCGAGCCTGTTTAATACAGAAAAGCGAAGAAGCGAGGCGCGTAAGGCACTAAAATCCGGGTGGCCACCGGGGATTTCAGTTATCGGAAGGTGTATATGGGGCGATTTGTTCCATCGCGTTATCTGACGGCAATTTGAATGATTTTCCTTCGACACATTACAAAAAGCTACAGAAAATATTCCTTCAATCGCAATAAGCAGTTGCAGTCATTATCATTGACGACATTTGTATTGCAATAGAATATTTAGAACTGTTCCTGCAACACGGCGATCATTTCAGAAGTTTCTCTACTATTGTCGTCTCCAGTGACGACTCGTAGAAAAGGGCTAGGTAAACCAGTTTCAAAATAAAGACATAGTTTTCTTTGTGACTTATTTTTCATAAAAAACATGTCTAGCACAAAAATCCAAGGCCAATCTGAAGACAAATTCGAATATCTAAGTTCTGATTTACAATGTTCTGTGTTCAAAGAGAGTAATTATTATGAAGTCGTACAACCTGTTTACAACTAGGTAGGTATGCCATAACTCCACTTAATTAATTAATACCACTAGTTTTCAGTTGGATATTTTTATCTAGATTTGGATTTTGGGCACTTTCATATAATGAAAAAATTTTTCTTATAAATTTTATGGAAATAAGTATAAATGCTTATGAAAATGTTTCTATAAATTTTCCCTTCTTGCCTCAATTGAAGGAAAGGATATTGTGTTCTTTTTACAAACTTTTATTTAAATTCACATGTATGTTTATATCTATGTCCAGTTCAAATATAGCAAGTCAAATTTGAACTACTTCCTCTAAACTAAACACTTTGAAATTTTGCATGCTTGTTGAGTTGTGATGACAGTACACTAAAATGAGTTTTTTACAAGCTTTTATTTAACTTGCCTTGTTAATATGGGTCAAATCTTGCATAGCCCGGTGAAAATAGATATTCAAGGTTACAATAATTCGCATAAAACTGAAAATTGGTACGAATATTGAAATGAAATGTGAAAAGTCCCACATCTGCCAAAAAATTTATTCAAGGTCAAAGTTTGCAAATATGGGTTTTTTGCATTTTTCAGCCAAACGGTAAATTTTATCATAAAGATTGATTGAACAAAAATTGTTCTTACACTTTTTTTCCTAAGAATCACCATTTCTGACATATAGATAATTTTTAGGAGAGGTAAAACAACAGTCTTTAAATTGTTTGAAAAACAAGATTTAGTTAATTGTGCTAATGTTTTTAAAGAGAGTAAATGTATTCCACAAGCTGTAATCACCAACGGAATTCGCTTCCTTCTTTCTGTATATGGAGCTCTAAAGAAAATTACCTGCTTAGATAAGTTTCGATACTTATCTTTTGTAAAAAATACTCCTAACAATAAACGAGTGCAATTAGCTTATCTTCCCCAACCACTGCTTCTGCTCATCAACATCTATTTCGGGTATATTATCAAGTTCAAGTGTGGCTTGGTAATCAACTGGACCCAGAAGACTGGGATTGGAAGTTAATTGACAATACATTGGAACCAATCCAGACTTTACTCCCACCTGCACCAGAAAAACTCCTGAATACATTTTTTTTACATTTGCAAAAAGGGGTGTAGTGCTAACTAAGTGCGGCTGCAAAAAAGTTTTATTGTTTTGTTCATTAACATGTACCAGTTGTCAAGTCCAGTCGTGCTCCAATGTTGAATCGCCATCAGAAGAGGGTTCTTACGTTATCAGCGAGGAGACACCTGATGCATCGCTGTTAGAACAATTTACTTGAATCCAGCAGGAAGAAGATGAAGAAGAAGAAGGAAGAGAAGAAGAAGAAAGAGAAGAAGAAGAAGCAGACATTACACTTGAAGCTCCATTAGATAATTATCAATCAGACAAATAGTTTCCCCAATTACTACATTTTTTTTATTTAATACAATGTTATTTAATTAAACAGGACCACAATAGATCGTGGAATAGCCTACCTTAAGAAAAACGCGCCAAGCACACTACCTTACAAGAATACGAAAATAAAATGACGTCTTTAAAATCTTGTATTTTTATTAAATATACATGAACTTATTTTTAACTTCACATATAGTTCAAATCTTTCAAGCCAAATTCTCCTTAGAATAAGAAGTGGATCTTATTTGTGGGAGGGCGAAATGGGCGGTGACTATTAGACGCTTTCATTATAGCCATCTTTCTCTATCGCACGGATTTCTATGACTTTCTTTATCGCTCTCACGTAACGGCCGATGAACCATGGATACTTTCCGACCCTGTATATGTGCATATCATGTAGAATGTGACTCCTTCAACTTTTAGAATCGCGATATCTCAGGAATGGTGATTCTTAGAAAAAGCAGTATAAGGACCATTTTTGTAGATAATTTTAAGATCTATATTTTTGTCAGGGCTACTTTTTTGATAAAATTTACCGTTTTCGAAAAAAATCCAAAATACCTCAAATTTTGACTTTTGACCCCGAATAATTTTTTTAGCACACATGGAATCGGTTGGGACTTTTGACACTTTATTTCTAATGGCGTACCCAAGGTCTCCACCAAAATTTAGCTCTGTCGGAATTTTCGTTATTTGACCAATATTTTTATGACTAATTTGACCGGACTATTATGCGATTTAAAAGCTTCACGCGTAGTTTCCTTGACTAACCCCTTAAAATAAAAATTCCAATTAGGAATAAACCTCGCGACAAGCTTTTAAATCGCATAAGAACATGAACATACTGATTATAGATAGTACGTGTGTATTTATCATACTTTTACTAACGACACTTCTATTCAGCAGCCAATTCAACCCTTTTGTGGGTTTGGGGTTTACACAACATTATGAATTCCTTGGTTTATTTTCTATTTTTAGTGCATTTTAATAAAAACTTGTTTTTTAAATATATTTTTTTTACTTTTCAATTATGTTTAATTTGTTCTCATGTTATGAAAACTATTCTAGAAGTAATCCAACGCTTTGGAAAAAACTGACACTACCAACGGTTCCTAAAGCGGATGCGAGATTTTTGTCTTTCAATTTTGACAAATTCGACCCCTAATTTGACTTCTAAAATTTTTTCCTAGCCACAATATATATACAGGGTCAATCCTAGCGAGGAGCAAACGTTTCAGTGAAAAAATAGAATCTTAAGGAATATTGTTTAGTTATACAAAATTGAAGTCTAGCCCCGGCCTGCATCGCATTTTTGTGTATTTGTGCCATCATTTAATCTATTAATTAACTTTTATCAGTTGCTACCTTGGAGTATATTTAAAATTACGATTAAATCTGATATCGATTATCTCGGCGCCAAATTATCTAGTAAACACATTTAGATCCTAAAATTTATAATTCTACACTTTCCATATGCTTATATCCGGAGGGTATCGTCTATTTCCTTTACTTTTTAATTACGCAATATGTAACTTCTCTTTATTGTTTGCATCTTATTTCTACCTGTTTCTTTCCAAAACAATAGCATGTTAAAGAAGTTTATTTCAATTGTTTTCAAAATATCAATGAATTGAAATTTGACGTAATATGCCAAACCGGAAGTAGTGTCAAATAGCTCAAAATTATTGCGAGAAGAACGTTTTATGAGTTCTCGGTTGCTGCGGAGACACTCTAACGTTCGACGCAGATTAATGAAATTAATTTATAATAATGCCGTTAAAAAGCATACTTAATGCACTGCACAAGTACCAGATAACTATTGCTATGAGATGTAAACAAGTACCTCCACTCGCTGAACTAGATTTACAAGTTTAATACTCTGCTTTTTGCCATTTTTCTCTCACCGAGCCTCGACGACTATTTTTATTATATAAGTAACGTCGTGTGAAAGAACACGAGGCGAAGAAATGAATCGGTTAACGCGCTAAATATCCTCCATTGACCACCGAATACGCTAATTTATGACGTTTTTAAAACAAAAGCATTTTAGGAAATAGATTGTCACTTTTAGTCCCCAACGGATTTTAGTTTATTTACTTTAAAGTCAATAAAAACGAAAGAATATTTATTTACAAAAGCAATTTAAATTTAACATTTTTGGCATACCTATGTCAAATCAATCAAAAACTAAACTACTGCTTCAGAACTAAAGTGCTTTTTAATCCCTTGGGTTGTTAGATACCCAAGACGCAAATTTAACTAAACTTTCTACAGTATAACGTACATTATATGCAAAACTAAAATAACTTTAGTCTTCGTATAATATAGACACTATTTTATATTAGATTAGACTCTGACTTTACTTGCAGGATGTTCTGCTTAAGGCTAGCGTTTTATAGTCAAGAAATCGCACTTTTAGTAAGAAAATAATAGAACAAGTAGATCTATCCATGAAGTGAGAAAGCGTAATGCTAAACTAGAATCCTTTAATTTTTCGCATTGAAAGATCAGGAAGAACATATAAACATCAGAAAATGTACCTTTTCTGTTTTGTTCAGCAAATTTGGAAAGATACTAAATAATTGTGACCAATGCATGTGTTAATAGTTTCCTGAAAGCATTCTGCGGGGTGTGATTATGTTTATAGTACCATAGGCTATTTTCTATATGTACAAAATTCAGGAAATGTAAGATAAACAAACATACGGGATAAAAATATGTTTTTTTACTTTTGAATGTATTGTCAGTTAAAGAAAATTTATATAACTGGTTCAGTGGAGAGGTATTGTTTCTAACTTGCTTAGATTTTTTTAA